ACCAGCTACAACACCAGTCACAGCGATTCCGGTTGCCGTGGCTGCTTCTGCAGCGGGATCAGCAGCCGCAGATTCTTCTGGGACGGAGCCAAGCTGTGTAACGGAGCCGTGGGACGTAGAAGGCGGGGAGACCTCGGAAGGGTGATTGAATGGATTGATTGGGTCGTTGAAGGGGTTTGCACTGGCGGTACTTGATTGTGGTGTGTGAACCGGCGAGGTATTTCCAGTCAGGTTACGTGTGCCAGCTGCACCTGAAGCAACGACTGCTCCGGAGGCGACGGCAGCGTCGGCAGCAACCGTAGAGGGGCCCACAGAGCCAGCACCAGCACTGAATTCTGATGCGAATGGCGCAAACTGTGTGACTGGACGGACTTGGAGTTGAGGTGGTTCCAGGGAACTCTTCGGCTCGGGCTTCGGAGGAGGTGGTGGTGGCGCGACAGGATCTGAACCCCAGAACTTCTCATCTTCGGCTACTTCCTTTTGGATTTTCTGTTCCTGTTTCTTCTTTCGCACCCAGAGAAGGACGAGACCTGCAACCAAGCCAACCGCCAATATCACACCGATAGCAATGCCGGCTTTCGCACCTCCAGAGAGCCCTCCTGATCCCGAAACTGCAGTTGCGGATGCCGACGCAGAAGACCCAGTGACATCCGAACTTTCCAGTCCCGCCTTGCCTTGGGAGGATACGGAAGATGAGACCGAAGACATAGCAGACGAAGTACTGGTCTGAAAGGTAGTCCTATTTGCCGATGTAGTCTCATCTTGGCTCGTGCTTTGCGTCTCTTTGGTCGCCTCGGTGGTTGTTGGCTGGGGTGCCGTTGTGATTTCGGTCTCAGCGGTCTCAGCGGTCTCAGCAGTCTTCGTGGCGGTAGCATGAGTCTCAGCCTTTGTCTGTGTTGTTGCTGCCTCAGTGGTCTCGGCCGTCTCGGTCTCTTTTGCTGTCGAGGACGATTTCGATGCCTTAACAGGAGCGCCGATACCAACAGCTGTGTTCTTGCTGCTTTCTGAGGAAGTCTTGCTTCCCGTGACATAGCCTCCAACAGGACCATCAAAATCCGCACTCATTGTCACATAGACCACTGTCACCGCATCATTATCCGGGCTTCGACCCTTCAAATGGGGCACACGGTCACGGTGCGCATGCGCATGCACCATGGTTGAGATGGTTTAGGGCTTGTGCACCTTGTAACTATTCTGCAATTAACTGGGCCTCTAGTGGTAAGCTAGAGTAGAGTCGAACGTGACGGGAATATATTGGTGCCCCGCGTACTTGTACCGTATCTACACAGCAAATGCAGAAAATAGGCAGATATATGTGAACGCAGGCTCAATGATAAAGAGTGTCTGTGAGTAGTTTCACTGGCATCAAAGAACGGATACCAGTTGATATGATATGTGACACAGATCGCTTTACTTTGTTGTCTCTGACACCAACGACGAGATAAGCTAGTCGCGTAGTGGCGTTAAAGGGGCGCAAGCGCGTTAAAAGAATGTGAGAGGGAAAAGAATGGAAGTCTGAGAATCCCCAGATATAGTTCAAAAAGGGCTGGGCCACATCCGATCTAGATCGGTTGAAACGAAGGACAGCGAGCTTCCAGGCCGCGAAGGTCAAAAGGAAGGACGAGAGGCACGAAAGGAGGGAGAGCAAAAGGATGGATGTGAAGGTGAGCACGCCCAAGCGTGGGCTTGCGAGAAGTGAAGGTGGTGAACCAACTAAAAAGAGAGTGAAGGGGACCCAAAGACGAGAGTAGGTACTGGGAAAGAGAGCATCACTCCCAAATACGGGTAAATTACCATCTTACGGGAACCACAGTTAAACGAAATGAGGTCAAAGCATAAAAGAGGGGCTCTTAGCCAATTAGAACTGCGTATCAGCCTGTATGCCCTGGTCTGCGCTAACATGCTGAGGCGGGGATCACGGGGTTTGTCCCGCTTAACCCTCAGGCACTTCATCCCGCTGATTCGTCCTATTTTGATACGGTTCCTGGTTTTCTGACCGTCACAAGAGGAATCACGAGGTTGCCGAACCTCCCGCTCTTTCCCCCCCAAACTCTCTCCTGCACAACTGCATCACAGGCAATGCGAATACTGGCTACAAATGGATGCTAGTGTGGGCCGAACCCCTCGATCATCATTTCTTCTCCCCCAGCTCCCGAACCAGTACATTGTTGAGGGCGTTCACACAGGGGATACACCAGATGTCCTTATGCACGCTCACTGAGGTGAAATGCTACTTGCTCAGTCTTTCTCTTGACATGGGTTAGAGTGTGGTCACTCTGAACTCGTTGGGTACCTCCCTTCTGAGCAACTAGACTACTAACAACCCAACGACATCATTCCATGACTAACCTCGTTAGCGGAAATGCAAAGTTTTCAAAGCTGAATGGATTTTGATCCAGCACCGTTGCATTAAACGAGATCTTCACTTTCTCATTCATTGGGTGGTCCCTGAGCCACCGCTCATTAATTAGCCAAGCCCCTTCTTGAACTCCGGTCCTTCCTAGCGTTACCCACATCCACCCTGACCACGGCTTCTCCTGGCAAATGACAATCATCCAATGGCTGCGATAGTGGGGTGGTACGTTACTTTGTAGGTAGGTTCCCTCCGAGTGTCCGACCCTTGTGCATGGCCGACAAATGGAATTGCCTTTCGCTGTTGAACATCGCACCGGCATTGGCTTTGATAGTAGCTGTGGTGCAGCACCACGTTCGTGCAGCCTCGCGAGTCTAGCCTAAACAAAACGTGCTGCCCTTGCATGCGTCAAATACCTGGGATCAGATCATAATTTCGATACACTACTCATACTTGGTCTCAACTCTCAACTCTGTTTCCTCTTCCATATTCCTTCCTTTTTTTAGGTCTACACTGTAATCTGATCACACCCTAGGGCCAGCAGCACAATCGTGCTCCGTCAGTCTTTGTTTCGAATGATTCCAAAATTTAACCGGTGCTCCTCCGTTCGGTTCCGGCCTAATAATCCGCGCTAGCCAGCTGTCTGAATATCAGCCCACACTAATAATAATACTCCCGCCTTCAGAAATCTCCGGCCTCTCTCGCGTTACTGCCGAGGCTAATGCCTGACAGGCGTTAGCAGCTCCTTGCTACAATGTCTACAGCACTTCGGTCTGTCGGGGTGCTGAAACGCCTAGCGAGTTTTAGAGTGGGCACACCAAAGGGGCAGCCTGCGAACGCTCAAGAGAAGCCTGTAAAGCCATGTAGATCGCATTTTTGCTGTGGTGTTGTCATGTGAAGGATCGCCGCAGTGGCCGTCTCTTCAATAAGGGGTTCGAAGAAAGATATTGAAGATCTAGGAACTCGAGAAATAAGGATGTTTCAAGGCCTGTTTCCGTTGTGAGAGATGGTTCGTCAAAGCCGTCGGTTTATCTTTTCGTCTTCACATACCTCTTCTGCAAACAACCGCTGACCGCTCTCATAGCGCACCAGTTCGCTCACAAGGCTACGAGCTTTGGTAGAAGCCCCTCTAAGGATTTCGTCCCATTGTTTAGCAGGGTACTTGTAGAATTCTACCTTCCCCCAGTCGGGTAGATTCTGCGTCTCCTATGATTGACTTCGATCAGCATGATATCCTGATAGGAAAGGGGTAATTCGATTGCATACAGGCCATGTCTTTTCATCCGGCGTCCCCAAGGTCGTGAAGATTGACTGGATGAGTGAGAGGTCGCTTCCCACCGGTCCCGAGTCGAATAATTGCGTATGCCCAACAGCCACCGCTTCGGCAACAACACAACCGGCCGCCCAAAGATCAAGAGCAGTCCCATATGCCTTGAAGCCGAATAGAATCTCAGGGGGGCGGTAACAGGTAGTTCCAACATCTGTGATTTTTTGGTCCGCAGGCTCAGATCCCTTGCTTCCTTCTTTCCATGTAATCCCAAAGTCTGCGAGATATGCCGGTCCTTCAGGAGAATCAAGCAGAATATTGGAAGGCTTGATATCTCGATGTATAATTCCCAGCTTGTGGATATGTGCTAATGCGCTGAACATATCCCGCAGATGAGACTTGGTCTGCGCCGCAGTCAACGCATCTCGCCGAAGTAGTTGCTCCAGATCATATCTCATGAACGGAAACACGAGGATTAGTCGCCCCTCGTCTAGGCTGAAAGTGTCCAGCAAAGGCACTACGCGAGGACTAGCCGCATCACGAAGAAGTTGAACCTCACGTTTAGCATCATGTGGTGGGGTTAACATGTGAGGTATAGTGACCTTGACTGCCACTAAGCTACCGTCGGAATTCTTGGACTTGTAGATCATGGAATGGAGGCCATCGAAGTGATGGAGACATGATTGGTATGGGCCGATGGTTTGGCCCCCTTCCCAGTGGTCTTCGTCGGTGTCGTTCTGAGGTTGATCTGGGCTGCTGATGATGGGAGCAACCGATCCCAAAGACTCTGCTTTGTCAATAGCTTCTTGACATAGCCTGTCATACTCCTCCTTTGATGCAGCTTGATCGTAAGCTTCGGTTTCGAAGCGCTTCGCTTGTGACTGAGCTTCAGCGAACGCAGCAGAGGAAGAAGCTCGCTGGTAAGCGGTAGTACTGAAGGGTATCAGAATCAACTCCTTCGTATCCACATAAGAGAGCGCAATGCAGGGAGATATCACCGGTGATAGTAGACTTACAGCGATTGAATGGCCGACAATCGATCTGTGAAGCCAAGGGTTTTTTTCCAGACGGGAGTGGTCATGATAGACAGAAATATATATATATATAGTTGTATATATAGAGAGAGAGATGAGAGGCAACAGATGATAGATGATATATTCAATCTATCCACTAGTTCTGCTAGTAAGTAGTATAGTAGTTAACTATTTAAAGATACCCCGTTATTATTATTGTTGTTATCATAATCACTCAAAAAAGGCGGGCAGACGGACATGTGACACTCCCGTGGCGCCTTACCGAGAGCGGCATGGGCCGATTCGGCACCTCCGCCCCAGTTGTTCCGGCGTTGCAACCCATCATCGTCATCAGCCATCAGCCATCGGCCATCACATCCTCTTCCCTCCGACTCCAGCTGTCCTCCGTTGCTTGTTGAACCTTCCCCCGGTTCCGCGTGGTGCTTCGTCCAATCGCCTCCCCCATTCGATGCTCATCCCTTCCCAGTCTCATTCTTCCTTATTATGCGCCCCCGACCCTCGTTCTGCTAAGGTTGTGACCTATGTGTAGTGATGGAACTCTCACGGCAGGAGTATCCAGCGTTGCTGGTACGATCCCCTCGACCCCAGATAACCCCACCTATCTTTTTTTCTCTCCCTGTCCTCCCAAATTCCACTTCCTACCATGTCCAGACACATCTAACCTGGTATTTGCTCGTCAATATTGCAGGCCTCTTTGCAGCCCGGCCAAGCTACAAGTGTACTCAATGATCGCATTCGCATCATAAACAAAGTCAATGCGGACATCGCGGACTGGCTCCAGGTAAGCTGTTTGCTCTTCTACTTGAAGACATATGTAGAATACACTTCCTGTGGCTTACACCTATCTTCCAATTCATAGGAACGTCGTCGCATTGAAGAATTGTATGCCCAAGGGCTGCGGAAACTTGCGCATCGGCCACAGTTGGACAATGGCGCAGCGCTCGGGTACGACCGGCTTTTCCGATTATTCTTTGGGTTAACAATTCTTGTACTAACAGCAATTTCATGAACAGTGTCTTCCAGATACCGTGGCAGCGCATTATCACTGCCACCGAATCGATTGCCTCTTCGCACGAAACTTTCGCCCATAAAATTGAGGAGGACGTAGAACGTCCGCTGCGAGAGTATAACACGAAAAATCGGGAATTGTCTTCCATGGCTGGTATCCAGAGCGACCTTGCGGGACTGGCCAAGAACTACGAAGCATCCCAGAAGAAAGTAGAAAAGGCCAGGGAGAAGGGCCCGAAGGGTGCCGATAAGCTGGCTAGCGCCATCGCCGCCGCAGAAGAAATTAGCCAGCAATGGGATTCCAGAGCGCCATTTGTCTTCGAACAGCTTCAGGCAGCAGATGAGGGCCGTCTCAATCACCTGCGAGATGCTCTCACTCAATTGGAGACCCATGAGACGGATCAGGTTGAGCGCTGCCGTCAGGCTGCCGAAAGCTGTCTGAACGTTCTTCTGAACGTAGAGACTGCAGATGAGATCAAGACATTTGCTGCGAAAATTAATGGAGGAAGACCTGTCGTTCCGAGGAGACAACAAACTACCTCGCCTCCCCCAGTAGCACCTCTGTCGCCTCCACCACGCCTGCAGGATGATGCTGCTAGTCAGCGATCGGAACATTCGGGTCCAGTTAGGACACCTCCAGGTGAGCATATCTTGCATCTCCGACTGCTCTAGCCCCGTATTCTGGTGCCATTCGCTCGATGTGGAGTTCTGACCCCTTCTCGTAGCACCCGAGCCCCGGCACAATACACCCCTGGGTGGCCTTAAAAGGCTGGGAACCGTCATGAACCGACGGAGGAGCATTGTTCAGCCTTCTAGCGCTGGTCCCTTCTTCTCCGATAAAAAACACCGCAGTCCGTTTGCCTCCTTTAAGAGGGGTGATTCGCGCGAGTTGCAGATTCCGGAGACCCCAACGGAAGGAATGGAGCGCCCCAGCACTGCCATGACTACTCAGGATACTGAGCCTCCAGCTATCTCGAGTGAATCTCATGAGCATGAGGGATTTGCTGGCGCGACATCCACTGCAGTGCCCCAGTCAGCACCGGCTACCGCCAACGGAGCAACATCTCACGAAGCTCCTTCTGAAGAAATCACTGCCGCTGCTGGCGTGTCACGCAATGAGGTAAGTGGGAAAGATTACTTGTCACTGATTCCCGAAGCTAATCTACCGACCAGCCACGAGTCGACTCAGAAGGTTTCACGGAGCGTGCGGAGACCATTGACGAGATTACCAGGGCCCAAAGAGAGGCGGCCGGGTAAGCGGTTTTTGTCACTTTGAGAATGTATTGTTTTGGCTAACAATCTTCTCAGATTGGAGGAGCCCGGGATGAATTTGACAATACGAGACCAGCCAATCTTTGAGGACGAGGATCAAGCCAAGCAAGCGATGGATGATATGGCTAATCAGCTCAGAATGGTGGGTTTTATGTGTAAAATGTTTTGCTACCGCATGTTGCTAATGTTACCATGCAGCGAGCTCAGCAGAGTGGTGTCCGACGAAATGCTGGAACCTTACGTGGCCGTCGCGATGTCCGTAACACTGTCTTTATTCCTACACCTGCACCGGGAAATGACCTCCCTGCCATACCATCAACCTTGGATACGTCCGCTCCAACCTCTCCATCTTTGCAAGCCAGGCATGTTGCCTCGCCTAGCACGGCTACAGACGACCATGCCATGTCCGACACGACCTCGATTCGCTCGTCTCATACTCTACATAGTGCTCCGGGACCCGTCTCGCACCCCGACCTTCACGAACCAGGTCTCAACGCATCTATCATAGACACAGTCAGTGCATGGTTCACTGAGGGTGCGGTATCCAAATCGTTTGTCGTTGGAGAACTTGCGTTGGCATACAATGCTACACCGGATGTGACTCCAGGTAGCACACGGGTTCGCCTTGACAATTTCCAGATTCTTGAGAAGGTGGCTGCAAACCCGCACTTCGTGACGGAAGACAAAGGCAAGGATCAATTTGATGAAAAGAGGGGTGAATATGAGGTGAACCTGGCTAGCATTGCTCGGTCTTCGCCGACGGTAGCTTTCAAGTACCAAATTCACATGGAACCCTCCGTTGCCGCAGCCTATTGCCCTGTCATTTTCAAACCAGTGTGGAATCTCGAAGAGCACCAAGCCAGTGCGATCATCTACTATTCTCTCAACTCCTCGTTCACGTCTGCGCCAGGAGGCTCAATTACCCTCAGGAATCTTGTTTTGACAGTAAACCTGGACACGTCTCCTGTGGAAGGGCGCGAAGTGGCTCATGCCACAGCAGCCGTCATGTACCCGAACACCGGTGCAACATTCCGTCGCAAGCAGTCTGCAGTGACCTGGAAAATTCCTGAACTTGAAGTCAAGGCTGACTCTGATGCCAAGTTGCTGGTCCGATTTTCGACGACAGCCAGTTGGCCACGACAGGGCAAGGTCGATGCCAAGTTCGAGGTTAACACGCTTGATGATGGATCCCGTCTGGGAATCAGCACCGCTTCCCCGACTAATCTGGTGAAGGGCTCTGACCCCTTTGCAGACGAAGAGGCCGGCAGCCAGACTCCTGAACTGCAGCCATCTGTTGATTGGAAGAATGTCCCGACTGCCCGGAAGCTGCTCGGGGGTAAATATGTCTCATCTTAAGGCTGGGTCCGCATTTTGCGTTTACCTGCGCACCACCCGTGTACGAACAAAAGACACTGTTCAACGCAAGGGCCTCGGCAACGATGCGAGCCTACGTGCCGTGTCCTGTCGCCCTTTCGCACCTCATGATAAATATGTCAAAAAGCTTCCCCGTCACGGTATATCAACATAATCAGTACTCGTTACTGTGTCGCCCTATGTCCCTACCCTTCAATCCTCCTGTGCAAAGCAAGTCTATCTTTCCTGCCGTTTCTGCTGTATTTTCCTTTGTCTTTTTCCCGATATCCTTTCCTTCCTCGTCATGTAATCTCATTATCTGGCCTTTTTTCCAGCTCATGCTGAGCCCGGTTAATGGTCTGTAAATAAGCTGCTCGTTCATGTTATTATTAGTTCCACTGTAATGGGTAATCAGGGTTGTACATGCTCTGCACATGGGCAATAATTGGGAAGGAGGATCGCCTTGGCCGTACCTAAAACCTATCAAGAAATCCTAATTGAATACTGAATACCCTCAAGTCATTCTTTGTTGGTGTCTGGTTACGGTAAGGAGACGGGATACTGGTCTACGCTTGCTTATCCTCCTTCAGCTTCTCGCATTGAATTATGCCCCTTAGTGTATCGCTATCATGTGCTTGCAATTAGGTGCTACAACCGTACGTCGTCCTTGAAATAGCCACTGCGCTTACTGCGTCTTCTTTCAATTACTGTTAGGGCTGAGCCGTTGAGCATGATGATAGTAATTAGCAGTGATATGCAGAAGATGTTGCCATGGATACGGACTAAACTGCTACGGGAGCTAGATTGGTACCTTTGACGCTAGAGCCTAGTTAGCCCTTCTTGAAGCACTGTAAGAAGGACTACTAGTCCCTACCAACCCTTGAAATAATAACATGAATCTTCATGAACAGAGAAATGTTATAACATGGCACCATAATACGTGTGTGCCGGGGAATCACATTGAAATATGCATGGCCAAAATAGAACTAAACCACATGCCCCTTAGGCAGAACCAAATATCTTACATGCGCGCAGCCCTAGTAGTCTTATCGAAAAAGTCCAGCGTCATAGCAGCAAGGAAACAAGGAATATCTTTCCTCTCCTCAACCCAGAACTTGATGAGGTGCTTGATCTCCATGGCAAAGAGGCTGTTGGGACCACCCGAGATCTTCATCGTACCGTTTTCTCCATCGAAGATTATTGAATTTTCCTCGCCGTTGCCCATGCTTCCTGGGCCCCGTGAGTCGGATGGAGCATCATGGTCACCATGCCTGTAAGCAGGTGATAGATGGAACATCGAGGTGACTCGGACACGGCCGTTGGGAAGGAAGTCCAGTTTGTATCCCAGCAGGGACGCAACAGCTTCGCGGAATTCAGACGACTTCGCCGTCCAGATTTCCTTCAGTCGCCGCATACGCTTCTCCTTGTCCGCGACTACTCGCTCCATGTCTTGGACTTCCAATTTCATGCTTTCCAGAGTGCTTACTGGAACGACCTTTACACCCGAATGATCGCCACGTAATTGAGCAAGGAGATCCTGATTTTCGGCCTTCAAAGTCCTGACAGTGGAGAGTTTGAGGTTTTCGGCCTCGGCCGTGGGATTGTCACGCAGCTCGAGGATTCTGGTACGCGATCTAGCCTTGAGGGATTTGATCTGGGACTTGCTTGCCTCGAGCTCTTTGCGCAGAAGTGTCGCTGCTTGTTCGGATTTCGAAAAGGACTCCTGCAGGGTTCTATACTTGCGCGTCAAGACAGAAAGCCGTTCGCTTTCTGCATCACTCTCTGCTGGAGAGAGAGGCCGTTTGATTCCGCGGGGTTGAGACTCATCCTGCTGGGAAGGCTCGGTTTTAGCAAGCTCTTCATGGGCCTTTTCAAGCTCGGCCCTATATTCATCGACGAGCTTCTCGAGATTGGCGATTTGCTCGGACTTTTGCTGATCGAATTGGTTTTGTTCCGGATTCATAGTCACCTCTTCCGTGTCAAAAGCCTTGAGTTGGGCACGCAAATAATCGACTTCTTTCACAGCGAGAGCCCGCTGTCGTTCGAGTCTTGCTTTCATACGGCTTTCTGCCATAGCTCCACCCGCAACAGAACCGGCACTGCTCCGGAGCTTTTCAATCTCCTGTCGCAGGGTGGTCCGTTCTGTCTCCAAGTTCTTGATCGATTCGTCCTTCTCCAAGAACTGAGCCTCAACACTGCCTATCTTATCAACAAGAGAGGCTTTTTCAATGCGCTCTTGTAGCAAAGCCTTCACAACCACTTCTGGAGAATCGAACTCGGCCGGCTGATCATTGTCTTGCAAGAGACTAGTCCAAGACCGTCGCTCGTCTTCCAACATCTGGATCTGGATCTGAGCAGTCCCCAGCTGTGACTCCACATCCTTCATCAACTGCAGTTGGTTTTCCAATGATCTCTTTTGCTCCTCCACAACTTCAACGTTCTTCTGTATTTTCCGTAGGTGTCGTAGTTCAGTGCTTTGCTCACGGTTTGTGGTTTCCAGATTTCTGATATGGCTGACTTGTTCGGAAAGTTCGCGCTTAAGAACTGACAGCGTTTCGCTATCTGTTCCCTCAGCTTTGAGCCGGAGATTTTCCGTTTCCAAATCAGCGACCTCGGTTTCTCGTTGACGCAGCTTCTCTTGTGTAGTCTGCATATCACTCCGAACAGTCTGGAGGTCATTCTGCAGTTCCTCTATCGTCTTTTGTAAAGACGAGCGTATGGTATCGAGCTCGCTGATCTGATATTTGTACTGTCTTTCCTGGTCGAGCGATTGTGCCTTTGAGTCTTCCACCTCCTCCTGAAGTAACTGATTCTGATCTTGAAGACTTCTGATCTTTCGCTCAAGGCCGGCTTTCTCATTAAGGGCATTGTCCTGGGTTTCTTTCAACTCTTTCGCTAGAGTCTCGCTCTTGTGGGTGGCCCGGTGGCTGTTACTCTCTGCAGCCTGTGGGACAGAAACATGGTCAGTGGAATAGACGTGAGGTAGTGGCTGAAGAATTGAACAAACCTGAGCTTTTCGAAAGTCCGAATCTGCCTTGAGCTGCAAATCCCGTAGTTCCTTTTCATGACGCAGGACCATCAAATCCCTCTCTTGCTTGAAATTCTCTAGCTCATACTTTAATGTATTCACCTGTACTAGCAGCTCCTCCTTTTCCGTGTCTAGAGAGGCCATTAGTCTTGAAGCACGCGCAGCCTGAGACACAAGAAACATTAACCTACCAGGCTTTGAGGGGTGAACTGAGCGGACCGATTGTTGCAAAGCGTCGGGTGCCGGTGGAAGCGACAAGGGAGATTCTGCGCGCATGGTGTCCCGCGAAGGACGTGAATTGATGCTTGAATTCATCTGAGGCGCATTAGCTTCCTTGAGCCAAACTGGCTGCATTTGACGACTTACGATGGATTGATCTGGCAATCGTATTTATCGTGTGACACGAGTTTTCGGAATGAGTTCATCCGAAACGGTAGATTCCATATATGTAGTCTGAATCGCCGCAGATTCCAGCCTTAGACTGAGCATAAGGGCGCAATCATCAGGCCCAGCGCCAGCAAGTGCCTCATTGTTTTTCGATAACAACAAGAGAGCGATGACATCCCGGATAGGCATGTGGCTGAGTCAGCCAGCTCACCGCCCGCGCAAGCTTTGATTCTTAAAGAGGACTAGCGCCGAAATTTTGAAATGGATTTCGAATTTTTGCGGGTTTCGACGAGACCGACGACTATTCCTCCCCACGCCCGTCGCCATTCTCCTCGTCTCTTTCCCCCTCTTCCGGATTCAGTTCAACTCCCTGGGTGGGTCTAATATTCACAATGGCTAAGGAAAGGACCGAGAAGAAGGACAAGCGCGAGAAGAAGGAGAAGCGCGCGGAGAAGGACGGCGTCTCCAAGACCAGCAAGAAGGAGAAGAAGGACAAGAAGGACAAGGTCGCTCTCGCCGACGCCGTCGAGAAGGAGCTCACCACTAAGGTTCTCGATGGCCTTGATCAGGCTGCCGCTGAGGCTCCTGTCAATGGCGCTGAGACCGAGCGCATGGACGTTGACAGCCGCCCCGTTGGCGCCGTTGTTCCTTTTGCCAGCCCTCTGGTCGAAGACAAGAATGCCAAGAAGGTCCTGAAGAGCGTCAAGAAGGGTAAGGATTTATTTTTTTTTCCATCTTTTTGCATATGTCTCCCAGGAGACCTGCCGCCTTCACTCTGGGTCCCGACGAGATGGCGTGTGGATTTGAATCACTTCTAGCCTCTGGCCCTGAGGGCTTACGATTGCCGCGTTCGGCATTGACTGCGCATCCATCTATCACTTAATAAACATTCGCTAACGTATTGACTTATAATAGCTGCCGTCAACAAGTGCCTGAAGCGCGGTGTCAAGGAGGTCGTCAAGGCTCTCCGCAAGTCGCCCATTCCCGCTGCCAACGCCAGCATCGGTGTCCCCAACGGTGTCGTCATTCTCGCCGCCGATATCTCGCCCATGGACGTTATCTCGCACATCCCTGTCCTGTGTGAGGACCACGGTATCCCCTACGTCTTCGTCACATCCCGAGCTGAGCTCGGCAACTCCGCCGCCACGAAACGCCCCACCAGTGTCGTGATGGTTGTGCCCAAGTCGGCTTCCAAGGGCAAGAAGAAGGACGGTGAGGATGATGGAGAGGACTTCACCGAGGTGTTCGAGGAATTGGCCAAGCTCGCCCAGAAGGAGGCCAAGAAGGTGAACCTGTGAAGTTTTCAGCTGGACTTCTGAATCCACCTTTTCCTTTGCTCTGTTGTTTCTTAATTATACGGCTTCTTTATGTGTCTTGTCACTTTGCTGCTATGGCTGTACAGTTTCACTTTGTTGTCTGACAAGGCAGTGCATGTCTTCGGGGTCTGGCCTTTAGGACGTGTTCATTGGGTTGATCTTTTATGATGTGTCCGTTGCAAATCCGGCGTTCTCACATGGTGTATGAAAAAAGGCAGGAAGTATACAATAAAAATCCCAATCTTGACCAGAGCCTTCGTAAGCTGTTCGTACAGAGCGCCAATGGAGACCATTCTTGCTTCCATTGTTAGGGTTGCGGAGAGAGAAAATATTGACCGCAAGAGGGGTAAGCAGGAGAGCCCGCATTTCAGGGAATTAGCCATATTTGCCACTATTTCTACTGAGGGTTGCTCATCTTTGCGTGGAAAGATATCGTCGCCTTGATGGATCATTCGACATGGAAGAAATGCCCAAGGCGGCTTAGCGTGTGCCTTAATTCGGGAGGAAAAGCAATACGGAGTTATTGGAACATGCAACCAACCACCTGAAGGAGTTCAACCTTCTATGACTAGCAATGAAAACGAGCTGGGGTAAAGCCAGATAGTTAGTGTAATATGTCGTGGCTTACACGAAGCTCCTTCCGTCATCCCTATCGGTCTTTATTATCCGTCTTTACCCTCTGGAAGGCCTCATTGCTTCTCCTGGCCATCTTAACTCCCGGTCCCGGGTACGATACCTCCACGACCTTATTCCCATGGCACAAGAACACAGATGAAACAGAAGGAATCGTTCAAACCACCTTGAGGTGGATATCTACCAAATTGACAAGATGGGATTCCATTTACTTTACTGAAGCGGCCAGACGAGGCCATCTCTTGGAGCAAGAATGGGCATTCAGTTATGCGTTCTCCAAATTCATTAATCTATTGGCCAGTGGTAGGCGTCTTTCATACACCCCATAAGCCAATCCTCTGGTGTTCTAAGATTCTTGATAGGCTTTACAAACATTGGGGCTATCCCCTATGAATTCAAGCATAGTGCACTCGGTATTGCCATTTCCCACGCAGCTCATGCCATCTCGGTGGTAGTTCTCTATCGTTTGGCATGCGGTCTATTCCCTGGAGCGCAAGGACGCAAGCTAGCTTTTATCGCAGCATGCCTACACATCATCTCGCCTGCTGGACTTTTCCTATCTGCTCCCTGCACGGAGAGCACGTATTCTCTCCTAAGCTTCACGGGCACTCTTCTCTTTGCTCAAAGTTTTGGTGCTCGCGGCGTCTCCACCAGCATCAAAGATAGCCTCCTAGTGCTTGCGGGTATCCTGTACGGCTTATCCACCGCTGTTCGTGGAAATGGTCTGCTCAATGGCATCGTTCTTTTCGAAGAAGCATGTCGAGTCTTGTATTCATTAACGCAGGGCTTCACCTTTGTCAAGTTTCGCCGCCTGGTTGCGGTCGGTCTCGGAGGTATTTGCACGGGGCTCGGATTTGTGTTGCCGCAATATATAGCCTACCAGCACTTCTGTGCCACCCACGAAGACCCGTCAAGAGAATGGTGTCATCGAACTATACCCAGTATATACAGCTTCGTTCAAGACTGTTACTGGTAGGTGCCTTATCCCGCTATTTGTCAATTTTCGCTGACGTATGCAGGGACAATGGCTTTCTTCGGTATTGGACTCTGTCCAACGTGCCATTATTTGCACTAGCTGGTCCAATGTTGGCCATCTTGGTGTACTCTGCCATCTGGACGCTCAGGGTGGGTTCTAGGCGGAGGGAAACACCCACAAATACAACGCAGCCAGGGTTCCCGACCGGCCAACTGACAGGTCGTTTATTGCGTAGCCTGGCAGCTCCTCAGATTACCCTTGCCGTTATGGTGTTTTTTTGCAATCATGTGCAGATCATCACGCGATTGGCCTCTGGTTATCCAGTGTGGTATATATGGACAGCGACTTCGATTATGAACAGATATACAGGTCCTTCATCTGCATTGAAGCGGCAGCTGGAGAAGACGAATGACCAAAATGGTTATTGGCAGATAATTGTTCAGTACATGGTGATATACGCTGCTGTGCAGGGCGTACTTTTTGCAGCGTTTCTTCCTCCGGCCTAAACCAGCATAGGCGAAGACGGTGTATATAAGTAATATCATTGTTCTTTAGAAAACCGTGGTCAGAGGCCGGCTTTATAACATCAATGTCGGCTCTAAGCTACTTTCTGGACAAACTACCATAGCCCCATCCTCTACTACAGCAACATGTGCATCATGGCAAGACGTTGAGCTACATTGACATTACGACACAGAAATAATGATCAATGATCTGGTCAGTCTCTGATTGCTCATATCATCTAGATAGATACACTAATACAGGAAAGGAAGGACGCCCAAAGAATAAGCCCATTCCTTCCAAACCCCCCAAAACATTACATACGGGAAAATCCAATATATAAAACGCGCTTTGCTTTTCATAACATCATCCATCAATGGCCCAGAAATCAAGCCCTCTGGTCCGACTGCAAAGCCTGGTACGGGTGCTGGTTATCGATGCCCTTCTGTCTACCGGCATTGGTACCGTCAGGACCACTCTCCGCAGTCTTACGCTGGAAGCCACCCTGCGCCAACCGACCGGGGTCATTCTCGCTACCGATGTCAGTAGTCCAGCTAGCATTCGGCGCATCATCAGGAATATCTCCTTCCTTCAGGTTGGCACCCTTGGGCTTGCTGTCACTCAAGCTACCAGTCACATCGTGAACGTAAGACGGCGCAGCTCCAGCATTGTACTGGCTGCTGTAGCCGCTGCCACTAGCCGGAGCGGGCTGCTGCTGCTGCTGCTGCTGGGAGTAGCTAGCACCACCGCTTCTTCCTCCTCCAGAGGACTGTTGCTGCTGAGACAGCTTCTGAGAAGCAGGGTACTGGCCCTGGCCGATACCGAGTTCCTTCTGGGCAGCAGTGGGACCACCGACGTAGCCGGACTCGGGAAGGTGAGCGCCAGGGTAGCTGCCCTGTCCGCCTAGACCCTCGGCGTACTTGTCCTGGGTGTCGGCGTTGGAGTCGAGCTTGGTAGCGGCACTGGTGTCGGTGGTTCGGACAGTGGATTGACCTGCGGAAACGCCCATGGGCTGAGCTCCGCGGTTCTGAGAGAAAGCGCCGCCCTGGGTGGCTGATTCGGCGGCCAAGGAGTCGTTGGTGATGGGACCAGCGGGCTCTTTAATAGGGTTGTTTCTGCGCTCGGGGTCGGAAGTGACCTTTGTTGAAAATCAGCATCTATGCCTCAATTGTAACTTGGGCAGTGCCGAAGCAAGTGACATACCTTAGTGCTTCTCTGGCCAGGGGGGATGGGCTGTCCTTGGAGATCCATGGTTATAATGGTTGTTATATGAGATATAGGAGAGGTATAGAAAAGAGTAGTGTTAAGAGGATTAAATTACTGGACTGGTTTAGTTGATTGATTGATTGATTGTTAGATAGAATGAATTAAACTGCTATCCCAACCAACAACTCACAACGACAAAAAAGCCATCTATATACTCTACGACCGAGTGAACCAAATGAAACGGATGGCGTCAACTTCCCCGAGTCTGAGCGCTTTGCTTGAGTTCATCCCAGCACATGATGTCATACTGACATTACGACGAGCCCACCGAATTCAACAGAGAACAAGCGAACAAGGTACGTCAACGAGCAGTATCTGGTCTCCAGTTGTGGCGTCAATCAAAACTAAACCATCGAAAAAAGAAGGGAGACAAGCAAGACAGGAATTCTACGTCTTCCAGATCAGCGAACTGGGCTGTTGTTTTCTGCAGGGGAACCCGGCCCCTCGCCCCCCCCCCCCCCCCCCCCCCCCCCCCCCCCCTTCGCCCCTTCCCCTTTGTGCCGGATGTTGCCCTCGAGGGCCCAGACAACTTCGGTAGGATCCACCCACATGTCTGATTGCCATTTCCGGTAGAACTAATCAGGTATGAGCTCTTGCTTAGGTATGGTTGTTGCTATGATGTTTTTGTTCTCTCTCTATTGCGTAGATTACTAGTGGCTTGGATGCTTTGCTGGCCTCTAGGTGGTATTGCTGGTATGACGTCATGGTGGTTGGGTGCATGAGGAAATGCTCCCTCTATACTACTCATCTCTTGTTACAAAGGATATGTGTTCAATGCCTGGCTATTGAAGTACATTATGGGATGCTTTTCCGTTCTCTAGCTACTACGGTCTTGACTGTGCCGTTTGACTGTTTGAAAGGTCCTAGGGTTTCTGTCCGCAAGCCGATTGGACCGGCTGTGTAGTATTGCTTAGCCTACTTGAGTTGATAGTACTACTAGTGGTAGTATTAGTCTTCCAAAGTAGACTAGAATATGAAGAAGCTTTTATTCAATTTCGTAGTAGCAATTACAGATCAATGCCCAATGTAGCTGAACAATCAAGCACATGAAACAATTGATGCTTCTTTTACTAGTTCCTGCGCGGGTAGACAATATATTTATAGCATACAAGTGGAAATTGAAACTAAGCTATCTCGAACAGCAATCTACATTGGCACTACCAGTATACTATTCACTATAAGAACATGAATGATAGTACAATACGACCATAGGGAGAATACTAGTAAGATAAAATGGTTATAGGACATTCATTTTGATTCATTAAATGCTCAAGTCATAATAGTACACATAAAAAGTAGGCCGTAGTCAATACGCCCTCCCCAACATTAACTCATAATATATCCAATTTACCGGTAAAGAGCATCCCGGGGCAGACCTTCAAGGTTATCCTTGCCCTGGCGTCCAACACCACTCATGGGTTGCGTGTTCTTGTGGTATTCTTCTCCAGATACCCGGACACTGCTGCTTGCAGTTGCGGGTTCTCTCAAGGCGCTGTTGTTCTCGCCCGAAACGGGTCCTTCGCGACCACCCGAACCGACGTTGACAGTTCTCTGGTCCATAGAGTTCCAGTCGCTAGCACGAGGGGGATCCTCGGGCAATGGCAGGTTGGACTGGGCCTTATCGATCTGGGCCTGCTTGTCGGTGTTCTCATCGATGATGGACTGGAGTATATTATTTAGTATACGTCAAAAGAGACATTAGGTCAAGTGAGGAATTACCTTCATGGCAGAGACGTTAGAGTTCTTGGGGGTCTTGCCATCATGAGCATGGGAGGCATGGGACTCGGGCTTGCGGATGTCCTGGATGGTGGTGTGGAAAGTCTGTTCGGACATTTTGGATGAAGTTGTGTGTGTGGTTGATGAAGTGGTAATTGAGGTGAAGTTTGTGGTTTGAGATGCGATAAATTGATTGTTGAGGATGGATTGAAAGTTGATTGATTGCTAGGATGATTCTGATGGGATAAATGTACCTTTAATATGTTGTTGCAGTGGACGAGAACCGATGGGCGTGGCTGGTGACGTTGGCCGCGACGACGTCATACAAGCCGGCTACACCTTGGTTCGCCTTGCAACCAACCCAGCATCATTGACCCCTTCATCATAGGGGCTACAGTGTCCACTCAATTATGGAGACTATGACCGAATAAGACAAGTCTTGACTGGAAATCGTTCTATTGGATGAGGGAATATCAAGAAGTTGCCGGTGAAACAGCGGCCCCTGAAGCCTTGGGATTGTCTGATCGATGATGGCAACAATAACGACAGTTCTCCGCATAGCAGAATGCTGATACTGTGTACCTGGAATCTATCATTCCTTCTCATTCCTTTAACTTCTTGACCCCATTTTTATTACATATTCATCTCTAAAGTCGCACCGGTGAAGGGACAGGAGTCGCTCTAAGCCAAGCCCCAGGTACATGGGATCAGCACGCCAGTGATGCCATATGAGATCTGATACTGAAGGTAGAACAATCCAGGGACATCATCAAGCAGCCCAAAGCGGGGTCAATGCTCGTTGAGATGAGATACCTGCAACCTTCTCCAGTCTGAGGAGTGACGTACCACTTAGGTGTCCAACGATTCTCGAGTGGTATTGATACACGAGTCTGCAAATGAGGCATGCACCTGCTACACAGCACTGGCTTCAAAACGGAGCACTGATTTCCGATCGTGTATGCAAACACATTGCATCCGAGACTCGAATCGCGCCTATACTCGTGAATACGTATCTCTGGTTGATATAGGTGATGTTGGGCTTGGACATTGGGCTAAGTCTAATCCAGTATAGCGAGTCTTCGGCATCTTACTCGGAGTTACAAACTTTCCATATCAGCATTGAAAGTCATATAGATACGAACTTAGACTTGATCTCCGCTTTTCTCAAGGGAAGACAATACTATCAAGGGTGACTGTCAATCTGAGGACGGACCGAAAGCGATGCTTGTCACAACGCGTAGGCTATTGCACCCCACAGACGTAGCATGAAACCACTGGGCTTTGTGGCAGCTCCAAGCATCGTTAGTAGCGTCAAGCATATCAATTTCAATCAATGTTGATGCCTGAGAACAGAATTATATCGAAGAGATCTTGTTCAGAGTCAGGGACAATCGGGGTCCCGATCGGGAACGGCGGCCTCAGACCGCCTTCCTAGGGAGGATGGCAGAAATTGATTGTCTCCCCGCTGATGCAGAAATGATTTCCCCAACACTCAAGCGATCAGATCGATGTTATTTTCTTAAAATCATTCTTTTCTTGCTCATATACCTTAGAGATTGCTGCGCGCGTTGTAAGATGCCTAGAGATCCGTTAATTGGGCTGGTCGGAAAGGTCTGGGATCCTTTTACCCCTCATACGAGACGCCGCTGATCGAAGTGAGGGGCATGTAGCCATCCAGCGGAAAATCGACCACATTAAATAGTCTGACAGATGCCTCTTCCAAAGTCGGTAAGCTACTTAAGTTCTGCACTTTAAATTGTGTCGGAGCACAAACTTATGGCATGTTTCACATCCAGGAAATTTCCCGTATGTTCAATCCTATTGCCGTTATCGTCCTACATCGATATAGATATCGCCCTTCGGACGCCGTAATGGACCGTTTATCAGAGCTGTTCTGACTGGCAAAACACAGTTTCACTACGATCGATCCCCAGCGCGCCATCGGCTACCTTCAGATAGAATGCGCCTGTCAACGATTCAATGTCTCCGATAAGTGCAAGCCGAACTACGGAGGATGTGTGGAGGGACGGCGCTCTGTTCCCATTGAACTTCTGGATGTCGCAGGTCTTGTACCAGGTGCACACCAAGGACGCGGTCTGGGTAACAAGTTCTTGGATGACCTGCGCCATGCCGATGCTTTAATCCACGTTGTGGACGTTAGTGGAACAACCGATGCGGAAGGTATGGAATTTTGATTTCTGGGAAAATCTCGGAACGGCATCACTGATGTCGCACTCTACAAATACAGGCAAAGCTACACGAGGATACGATCCGTCACAGGATATTGAATGGCTGAGGTCGGAAATTGTACGCTGGGTTCTGGGAAACCTCATGCAGAAATGGTATGCTTGAGCGCCAGGAGCTACATAATCAGGGCTAATACCGTGCAGGGGTTCCATCAAGAGGAGGCACATGGCAGTCAGTAAGTTTGGTCATAAATCAGCCAGAAGCATCTTTCTGTGCTAATCAATATCAGAGGCTACGGCCGTGGATACCTTGCAAGCCCAGTTTTCCGGTTACGGAGGTACAAATGCGATTGTTGCCCGATGCTTGGATCGGATGGGGTTGAAAGAGCCTCTCGAGGAGTGGTCCGATGAGACCGTCGAGAAGGTCGTTGAAGCCTTCATCGCAGAGAAGTTCCCGACAGTCTTCGCCTTGAACAAAATTGATCATCCGGATGCAGACAAGGTTGGTCATATATCTCAAGTCACCATGTTGCCGTCGTTACTGACAAGGTGGACTTAGAATATTAGCAAAATCGCTAAGATGCAAGACCCTCAAACAATCGTACTCTGCTCCGCCATCTCAGAAGTTTTTCTCCGGAGGCTGGCAAAACAGGGATACATTAAATACGTTGAAGGAAGCGAATTCTTAGATACGAGGGAGGACCTTATCGAAATGGGCGATCCCGATGGAGGCGGCCTCAAGGAAATGGACGAGAAGCTCACACAGTACGAAGACACTATATATGCCCTTCTAGTGGGCCATGCTAACATGCACATAGGCGCGTTGAGAACTTGAAAGACATGGTGCTTTATCGTTTCGGGTCTACAGGAGTTGTCCAATGCCTTTCACGTGCTGCAGAACTGCTGGGACTCGTGCCTGTCTTCCCCGTTCGCAACATCTCCACCTTCTCTTCTGGTGCCGGAACGGCTGTTTTCCGTGATTGCGTTCTTGTTGGCAAGTGAGTGATCCTGATATGAAACCTATTGCTCCAACTGGACCTTCTGACGCCGAGCAGGAATACCACTGTAGGCGACGTTGCTCGCAAGGTGATGGGTGACGTACCCATCTCCTACATTGAAGGAGTCGGTGGCACCCGTGTCTCCGAGGACGAAATAGTGGAAGTAGGAAAGCACGATGTAGGATTTCCTGTTCAAATCAAGCTGCTTGCGCCAAAGCTAACCTTTCTATTTTAGGTGCTGTCGTTCAAACCTGGTCGATAGATCCTGCTATTCAAGATTTTATGTACAGTCAACATGATAATGAAACACAAGTACTGAGATGATACAGTTCCAAGACTAGCATCTTCCAGTCCGATTTAAACCGCTCCTGAGCTTTTCCCATTACCAATATATGACCCTGGCCTTAATGACCCTTCTATCAGAGCAAAATCAGTTAGCCACTCAACTGAACTCCGTGAGGTTTATAATGAATGGTATAGGCTTGCATGGGTTTTACATTGGCACTTACATGGCCTCTCTCATCATTCATTCCAATAATCGGCTCTGGTGCCTTCGGATGTTCCTGCTTCGCCTTCTTTCCATGCTGACTACCTCCCTTTTCTGTTGCTCCCTGAGGCTTTGCGTCGTTACCCCCGCCCTCCTTCCTGTCCTGCATAACAGAAGCTGATGCATCTGTTGTTGGGTCTGTAGTATCATTTTTCTCTGCTCGGTTAACTGCATTATCCTCCGCCCCAGTACCCTTCCAGTCTTTGCCCAGGCCGCTGTTTAGGCGTGCTTGCACGCTTCTCGGGGTATGAATCGCAGCCGGCTGCCAGATAGAGCGCAGTGGAAGCAGACATGGTGTTGGAGGCCGCGGTACAAGCAGATTGTGGAGCTTTGAAGCTGAAGACTGAATGCGGGTGTTGGCAGGCATATTGGTGGTTGTAGTACTGAAGCAGCTAGTAGACCTTGGGGTAAAAGTAGTTCTTATTGACGCAGCACTATGTCTTTCACGTATAGCAAGAATAATAACTTATCTGTCCGGGTTAAGTCAGAACATCCCCGCAGTTTCAATTAATACTAGCTAAGGTCCGATCGAGTTCGCCTGGAGAATCCGGCTCGACAGCTTTTGTATGACGTCTACATGCCGCAATGTACCCCAGTTGCGATCAACGGTCATGGATAGGGCTTAGGGCATGGAGATAGCTCCCCGCCTTCTTATCGATAAGGACAAACAAACACCTGACATGTACGTCGCAGGACTGCACCATGCTCGCTTTATAGTGTTCGAAGGCATTTGCTACTGCAAAAGTAACGCCCCGTAACTGAAACTTTACAAAATGAAGCACGATTACTATCCGATTGAGACGCTTCCGTCGTGGATAAAGCTCAACGGGGTCTCCGTCCATGGTATCGCTTTCCGCAAATTGCAAGCAGATGATGGCACCGACAAGGGGTCTGCAATTGTTGCAACTGAGGTAAAAGCAGGTGGCAATGAAAAAAGCGACGCAGTAGAGTCGGAGGTACTTCTACGAGTACCGTCTGACTTGGTCCTGTCATTCGATTTTGTTGAAGAATATTCCAAATCGGATAGACAGCTCCGTGAGGTATTAGAAGCTGTCGGGAACTTTGGAAGAGTAGGTTCTACTTCCTCATTGTATTCCGATTTTCGCCGAACAAATACCGTGTTTATGGCCTCTTCGGAGAGACGGATGAGCTCGTGTTAATTCTATGCTGATCTGTACAGACAGCCAGAGGCGCCATATTAATCTTCCTTCTCGTGCAACTTACCCACTCTAGCCCGGACTATGCGCATGAGCGGCACCAGATTGGACTATCGAGCCCTTGGACCGAATATTTGAAGTATATGCCGTCCTCTATACCTTTGCCTACATTCTACAGTGAAGAGGAGTTAGAGCTCTTGCGCGGGTCCTCGTTGAGGTTGGCTGTGCATGCGAAGATTGCCTCGCTGGAGAAAGAATTCGAACACCTGCGTCTGAGCACAGAGGGCTTGGACTGGTGTGAAAAGTATTGGTGGGATGAGGATACGGGGAGACTGACGTTCAACGATTGGAAATATGTCGATGCGCTGTACCGGTCACGCATGGTAGATCTGCCTCGGCATGGACATGCCATGGTTCCATGTATTGATATGGCAAACCATGCTCCTGAGGGGACGGTCAAGTCGTTGTATGACGAGGATGCCGATGGGAATGCTGTGTTGCAGCTGCGGGATGGACGGAGCTTGCAGGCTGATGAGGAGGTTACGATCTCGTAAGTACTGTCTTTATATTGACTACTTGTTGGTTGTTTTCGCTTAAGCTGACGATATCAAGGTATGGTGATGAGAAGTCCGCTTCAGAAATGATTTTCTCATATGGATTCCTCGACGAGCATACCACGGACGCGAAGCAGATCTTCCTTGACTTGGACATCCCAGATGATGATCCTTTAAAGATAGCAAAGAAAGCATTCTGCAAAGATACGCCCGGGGTCAAGATATCTACTTCCTCTAGCGGCTCAGAAACAGCCGCAACTACAACCTGGGACAGCACCATCATTTGGTGGGCATGCGTAAATGAAGAAGACGGGCTGGACTTCAACGTTCTTCAAACCACCGACGGTGGCAGGGAACTTAAATCTACCTGGAACGGGCAGGAAGTGAGGGACGCAAGCTGTCTCAGGGACCTGCTAGCTGCAGATCCCCAATGGGACATCTACCAGCTCCGTGCGGTGGTGCTCATCCTCGAGCGGTTGGAGACCCAATTCTTCGTCCTCCGCCAAGCCGACATGATGATTAGCGAGATCCGCGAGAACGAAGACATGCGTGCTATTTTCGAACCATTTGTGTTTCAGACAATCTTGAGGTTACGAGAGCTGGAGTCCAAGCTTATGGAACGGGCAATTGAGGACCTCGTTAACCAGGTACGTTGTGTGATATTATTCCCGTTCGCTACCCCTTACCCCATATTGTAAACCCCACACAGTAAATCAAACATAACCAAAAAGATACTAATTGTCGATCCTTCAAACAACAGCGGGAAACTCTCATGTCAAGCCCCGCAGTCAACGCCTACCTTGCCCAACAATCAGGGGACATCGAGGAGGATTTCTCTTGAAAGTGAACTACGATCTTTAAAAACACCCACTTGCGCACATCTAGTCTAGCTAGTTATCCATCTCAAACCCACTATAGCAATGAAACAATCTAGCCAAGCAACCCTAGTTAGTCAATAACTAGTTAACGAGTAGCACAGTTGCCAACCTATCTATCTGCAACCACCAGACCAACCACCTAATCAAACCCAACACAAACCCCATCATGCATGCCGATCCTTCATCAAGTCCTACTACTTCCTGCGCAGCAAGCAACTAGTTATAAATTAACTCATCTCGTATCAAACCCCCACAATAATACCCAACCCGTAACAGCACCGTAAATTCTAAACCATGGCCACAAAAACGTGGAGGTACCAGATTTCCACCTAGCTACTAAGCCACCACCACCCCCGGAAGATCTGAGTTTGAGTTAGTCTGAGTAAGTAAGTTATATTATCTTACCCACCGCGGGGTAAAGCGATCCTACGAGAGCGTTGGATTGGTTGGAAGAAGTGACGAGAAAGAAAACAAAAGGAATTAATTGGTCCTGGGGTTTGGTGAAACTTTAAATTACCATTTCTGGGCAAATGCCATTTTGTAACTAGTTTGCCTGGGAAGGATTGGCACGAGAACTATTTATTCTAATTATTATTCAAATTGGTTTTTATCACTTAAGGGACTACTATGTAGTGATGACGTTTGCTATGATTCATAAGTTGAAGTTGCCAAGGGTTGGTGATTGGTGATTGATTATTGGTAAGTAACTTGGTGCGTTAGGTTTGAGGGTTCCGATGTCGCTGAGGTGGTTTGTCTACGATTTATTTCTAAGTAGTACTGGCTGAGATTGAGTTGGTGCTGTTGGTAAGATATTATTACACTAAAGTTCGCCTGAGGGATTCGTTACTGCAGCCCTGTGGTGGGTATCTTACCAGGCATCGATCGGATAATTTGCGCGTGCTTTTGTGTCTTACCGTGAAAGTACCCACGTAAGAGGTCATCAGGTACGTACTAGGTACATCCTAGTTACATCCGGGGGGAGAGGGGGATGTGAAGATGCTAGATACATATCAGGATCTCAGCTCGTGGGGCCAGATTCATGCACGCTACAGCTACGGTCCGCCATGATCGACTGCTAGAGGCCCAGGAGACCCTGGCTAACGAGAAGGTGGTCCAGCCAGCCAGCCAGCCTTCTGGGCCTGAGAGGGTTTATCGAGTGAGATATGCACAGCAGTTGCAGAGCGCCGAACTATCGACCAATGTGTGTATCACACCGGCAGGTCAACTGGCCCCAAGCAGTGCTGACTACTCCGTAATAGTCAAACCCACCACTGACAATGACCAAAAATGTCTTGCCTCAGGTGTTCATGCGCTGATGTTAAAAAAATGGAACAATAGCAGTGGGCGAATCACAACCCCCTTCCAGACTGTAGTCATTGAATGGTCCATGGATATCCGCCTCCACCTCTGCGTTTTCTCGGCAAACGCTCGGCGCACGACCAACTTTCACCGAGCCACGGTCAACATAAATGAAAAAAAGCGCTCGGAGTACCCAGGACATATTATATTAATGAATGTGATAACCACTAGTCGCTGATAAGTCTGTCGGATATCCCCGTCGGGCAGGGCGAGGAAAAAAAAAGTAAATAGAAAGAAGCAAAGAAAATTGCAGCTGAGGAGCTTTTATATGAGTGATATTGAATCCTCTTGGTGTTTCCCCACTGAGAAAATAAGCAGACTCGAATCTTGTTCAGGCCTCGTGCCATTCGATCAATGGGAATACGAGGATAATAATCCAGAATCCAAGATCAGGAGCGCTTACTCTCCGCGATCTTCCAGCCGCGAACGCCGGGGGGGAAAATCAGTGGCGACACCGCATGAGGCAGTTCATATCCAGACCCAGGGGACGTGGCCCTGACTCAAACGGGAATGGTTCGGCAAACGCTCGGATTCCCCACCTTAGTTGGGCTGGAATTCGAGAGTCAATAATAAATGGTGAGAGCAACAGATCTGCCTTGCAGTTGCATGAGAAAAATTTTCATCATCGACAATATTATAGTCAACTTTTTTTCTCTTTTCTCTCAGAAGATAGTAACTCAAAGAAAGCTGCAGATCGCTTGTAGATGAATACGTAATCTGTCTGAATAGCCACCATTCAATGTCATTTGGTAAATCAAGCGTCCGGGTGCCAGTTGGGTTCCGAATCGCGGGGAGGAGGTGGTTGGTTGTCGGCCAACCACGGTAGAGAGAAGTGGTAATATCAGAGTCTGATGGTCTGGACAGTTGGCAAAGACTTGAAAGTGATCTCCATCGGGTCCCCATTCACTCTACTACATTTGTCGGACCGCGAGCCCGGTGGAAACCGGCGAAGCTTTGCTGGCTCGGAATGCTGTGATCTTCAAGAGCCGGACCGCACTTGCGTTCTGCTAGTGTCGGTTTTGTCTGGTTCATCTACATACTAGTCCTCGTGCATTCTCCATAATCACCCCGATAATCCGTGCTTGGGAGGGGGAATAGATTGCAACCATGGGCCTTGGCAGCCATCCGTGACGATATGATTAGATATGGCAATACACGGGACACTCAACCTTGATGATACGAGAACCCCATCGTGGATCCTATCTGACTGGTTGCGTGTGTGTCTTATGGCTCGCCAATCACTTGCCCTTCTGAACACCCCTGTAAGGAGAATTAATGTAGGAATCTCCGGTGGAAAGAGGCCTTATTGCACCGGTGCCATTAATCATACATTAGTGGCCGCGCTGGTCGGAGTAGGTCTGCTGTGGACTTGCCCTTGGTGGAAGTTGTTCCTGCCGCCGCCAGTGCCGAGGCGTCGACGCGGGTTGTGCCAGGGGCCTGTCAGTGCCAACTTTTTTTTTCTTTTTTCTGATAAGGTGACAGCGAGATGATTGATGCTGATGAGACGAAGGGGCGGCGTCTTACTGCTATCTACTAGTACTAGCTTATAAGCAATTTAATGCTGTTACCTATTGGATACTACGTAGCCTCGACCAAACACATAAGTATCCCTCGTTCTCCGATGCAATACTCCGCCTCGGCTCAGCTAGTCATTTCTAGTATTTACCCGCGTATCTAGAGAGGTAGATAGATACTAACTACTAGTAATACTACTCAGACCACTAGTACATGAATGGCGAATCGATCAATGTAAGCCAGAGACGAAACCAGTGCTGTGTGTCTTGATAGTAGTAGGTGATGTTCTGCCAGTTACAAATCAGCTGCTGTCAACCGACAAGTGCCGAGGACCGGGGAAGAGAGTCACTCAATTCGAATAACCTCAGCGGCTCCAGACTTACCATACCGGTATTACTCCAACCCACAAAACCTTCCAAAGATTCCAAGTCAACATTTGGAAGCCCGCCGACTGTCGGCTGAGCGAATGAGCTGAGTCCACAATGGGGATTGGCCGGCATTCCAGCGCATGACCCACTATAGACAGCCCCACCAGCCCCCCTTTTGAGTCGGTTCAATCCTCAGGCCGCACCGCGGAACGTTTGTTACCAGGCCTGATACCTTCGCCGTACGTACTTACATCGAAAAGTTGCTTGCTTCTGGTCGCTCTTCTTCTGCCCCGTCGGTCCTCTCCTTCATCCTCACGCCTTACAAACCCATCTTACCGCCACCACACACTCTCTCTCTTTGGCTCTTCCCACCTTCTCTGTCTTTCAAAAGTCCTTCAACCCCGCTGCTATCATCCGCTTACCTTAATCTCGACACTACTTCCGCATCTCCACTTCTCCTCTCACACAGAGAGTTACACCTAGGTTCTCCAGACCTGTCTTACTGGTGATCCCAAGGCGTTCGCATCAACTACTTACTACTGAACCCCCCTCGAGTGTACCGTCGAATCTTACTCTCCAAGTCCGGCGCCAATCCGATCCATTCTCTCAAGGCAGATGCGCCGCAGCATCCAGCCAACATGCCTGGAATTCTCCCGATGAAAGTGATCAAGGTCGGGAACGGCTCTCAGAGTCGTATCGCCCAGGCCTGTGATCGTTGCAGAAGCAAGAAAATCCGTTGCGACGGCGTCCGTCCCTGTTGTACACAATGCGCCAATGTCGGCTTCGAATGCAAGACCAGCGACAAGCTCAGTCGCCGTGCTTTCCCTCGTGGATATACCGAGTCGCTGGAGGAAAGAGTGCGCGCCCTGGAGTCCGAAGTTAGGGATCTCAAGAACCTGTTAGATGAAAAGGATGAAAAGATCGATGTGCTCTCTCGTATACACTCTTTCTCTCCTTCCTCGCGTCAGAGACCTAGTGTTGCAGCGCCGTCGCCATCTGCGCCTGCAAGGTCCAACGCCCCCGATGCAGATGAGGGTGTAATCCAGATTCCACAATCCTTGCCGCCTACCGAGTCAACCTCGGCTGATATTGCAGGAATCTCCAGTACTCGCGGTTTTGTTGGTATGTTCAAACGCCCCCTCCTTGTTCACTTCCTGGCACCCATCCCCTACAAACCCCAAAACGAGAGTTGAAGCGGTTTCTGGGAAAAGGTTCATGGCTAACCCCGCCAGATGTCTTCACAAATAAACTCATAGATCAAAACCGATTGCCGTCAAATGTTGCGATCAAGTCTTTGGCCGCTCCCCCGGCCATCTCCCATTCCCGCGTCGACCAGGCCATTCGCACTGCGCCCCGGCTCGTATCCGATCAGCTCATCAACATCTTCTTCCAAGAATGGGCTCCTCTTTATCCGGTTGTTCACCGACCCACTATTCTGAAAGCTTATGAACAGTACCTTTCAGGCACCGAGTCTATGCAGGGCAGCAAACACGACTTGGCACAACTGAATTTGATCTTCGGCATTGCCGCCCTTGCTTCAATGGTAAGCTTTAACCCTAATCTAGCCAGACCATACCGGAAACTCATTGGGCTTTTGCAGTCGAGAACCAACCAGGACCCCACCTTTTTCGAAGACAATTGGTCCTCGATTCTTGAATCCATTGCCAGTGATGTATCTATTGCAACAATGCAATGCTACGTGCTCGCTCAAATGTACTGCATGACGAAGGGCGACTACACGAGCCTCCTACGCTATCGAGGTCTTGCCGTCAGTCTTAGTCAACAGCTTAGACTGCATCAGAGCCAGAAACGCTTCTCGTCGAATGCTCTCATGGCAGAAACCCGAAAGAAGGTGTTCTGGTGTCAATATACTCTCGATCGGTGAGTAGGCCCTCTCAAAGCCTTCGTAACGTATTTCTTTTCTAACCCATATCCAGATTGACCGCTGCTTTGACAGGATTGCCTGTTCTACTACGTGAAGAGGACATCAAGACCGAGTACCCCGAAGATATTGATGATGAAAACGTCACGGAATCGGGCTTCTTGCCCACTCTTCCTGGAGAGTCTACCCGTATCTCGAGTGCGATCGCGCTATTCGCCGGTTCGCGCGTGTTGAACAAGGTTTTGGAGGATATCTATCCCTCTGAGGGAGGGTATGATATCTCTCTGTCGAAGCTACGCTCAGTTGCAGAGCAATTGGATGATTGGGTGAAGGGCTTACCTGCTCACCTCCGCCTTGAGTTTTCTCAGGACAAGCCTAGCACCAATGTTACTAGTAGCCGATCGCCCCTTCTGGTAACTACTGAAAGCCCTCCTCCTACCATCACATGCGTTTACTGACTTGTTTCTAGTCCCTCGTCTACTACTTCATTCGTTCGTTGATCCACCGTCCTGCGGTCTGCTTCGGCGAGGAGCACGTCCGGTCCCCTTCTATCCTTACAGTTTCCGACTCAGCCAAGCACATCATCCAGATCCTTCAATTGCTCGATGAGAGACGTCTCTGTCTCTCTGTGAGTATCAATCGGAAGGAGCTGGTTTTCGCTACAGGACTAGGCCTTCTTTGGCAAAGCATCGGGCTGAAGCGTGACAGCAAGCTCGTCAAGGAGAGCCAAAAGTTGCTTACCGCAGTCATTGATCAATTGGAATCTGATTCGTCGTCCTCTGCCGCGGAGTTCAGCGCTTTGGCCAGTGTTTTCGTTTCTTTGAACAATAGCAGGCATGTGTCGACTGGCAAGCCGCAGGACATGTCGCCGCCCTTGCAGAGACCTTTGAAGTCCCCGAAGAAGCACCTTCAGTCGTGGAAGTCGCGCCTGAGTGAAATGACCGGTTCAAACCACCACGAAACGCCGGATTCGCCCTCCCGCAGGGCCACTATCTGCGGAGCGAGTCCCAATGCCGCCCAACGCCACATCAGGTCCTCCAGCTGGGCTAGCTTGCCACCGGACAACTTCCACGCGCTAGATGTATCTACGAACAAGACAGTCTATCCTTCGTCTTCCGGCCCGTATGATAGCAGTCATGTGCTTTCGAGCTCCGCACCCTCGGATCACCCGAGCGGACCCATCACGGTATCCGACTGGGAAGTTGTTCTGAGTGACATGGACCGCGGCTATTCGAACATCTATACCGGGATCTATGGGGGAAGGGAGTGTGGTGAAGACAGTGGTCCCTTCGCTTCCCTCACGGCTGAGTTCGCTCACAAGGGGGATCCCATGGTGGCACCGTTGTCAGCACCACACGCAGAGCTGCAAGGGTTGTCTCCCGAGGCATGGTCAGCCAGTAGCAATAGCGACGTGCCAGCCAACCAGGATCTACCGGCACAGAGTGTCCTCAGTTACTCCGACGAAGGCAGTGCCGAAGAGGGTGTGCCATACAACGATCTGCGGCTGTCGCCGGAAGAGCAGGCCAATTTTCTGGGCTCGTTCCGGAATGTCATGATTCCGGCGGTGGAAGATGAGGTGGATGAGTTTGGGCTGATTAACGGCTGGGATCGGCGACTGGCTGTCTGAGCTATCGTGCTCGGAAGACCAGCATTTTCATGAACGCAATGACCTTTGGTTTGTAAATGGAGTTTCTTCTGTATTTTGGGATTGTCAAGGTGAAGCGAGAGGATGTCTGTTCTTTTTTTTTTTTTTTTTTTTTTCCTTTGTTGTTTTCTCCCCCCGTCTGTTTCGTTTCGTGATACCTGGTCGGTGCAGGGAGTCTCGGTTTCCATTAGGCACTCTACACGGAGTGTCTGTCGGGGGTCATATCCCGACCCTTTGTCCCTATAATGTTTGAGTATATAGTATCTTGAATGATGGATCTTCAAGTATGTCTGTTGTTAGTAATCATATCCTTGTGAATCGGGATGATTGCCGCGTCTTGCAATTCAGTTCAAAATGTTGCCTGCTTCAAACTCTCTGCGACCAGGATGCAACGACGGTAGCCCATTACTTGCTCCCAACCATAGAATTTCCAGACTCGCATGGATTCAATCACATGCACCTGCCAAGAGATAGTATGGCCATCCCTCACATGATGATGGTAGGGCAGCGCATACTCCCAGTAAAGTACTCCTCTGCATACTTCAAAACCAGACGCATCTGACTGCAAACGACTGAGCAGAGCGAGCCTACCACTACTAAGTATTTACACATGCGTCTCACAGGCCATCCCCCCATCCCCGGGTCCGAGCATCAATCAGAGGCAGACCGTTCCGAGCGCATGCCCCGAACGGCACACGGATTGGACTAATCGGGGAAGCCGTTCGATCTGAGCGGCCCTGACTGAACCTTGCAAGCTAGCTAGTAGCTACTTCGATAGTTGGTAACCCGGAAATAACAACGTTTCAGTCGGCGACTGCACAACTCTAGCTGCATGAGACGATTTTCTAGTTGCGACAAGGACTGGCATGGGCCTACTACTACTCCTAGCTACCTACTTGGTACAATAGACTGGCCAGCCATCGCTATGTCTTCCTTTACGGTACACACCCGAGTACTGACCTGTCTTGCCCTGGATGGAAAGCATCGGAAATGCAAACCTTCCGGAAGCAAAGCAATGAGAGGGGAGAAAAATTCTCTGCGATGCGTGACCGATGAATGCCGCGTGTTCCTGCTTCATAATCAAAATCACTTGACCTGCTAAATATTTATTTTAGGAGATATGTGCTCCGAAAGCTAGACTAGATGGTAGTCTACAATGTGGTTGTGGTTGTTGTTGTTTGTGGTTATGATTATTGATGGAGACTGGGCTGGAATCCGGACTCCGTAAAAAGCATGGGAAAGGAAAAAGCGGAGAGATTAGTGACTTGCTAAGGTACCCCGTTGGCGGAGCAGCGTCCTCCGGGACCCAGCGGACAGAAACACACGGGGTGGACTAATGGGGCTCGTCTGAATGAATAATGCGTCCGGAGAATTGCTATGTTGGGGAGGGAATCCGCCTATAGGTAGGTATTTGATTTCTAGCCCTGGAAATAATATGGTGGTGGGTGGGTGATTATTGCTATAGAAACTAATTAAAGTGTCAATGGCCGGCGGGGTGAAGAGCATTTTGTAAGAGGTTGAGTAGGTTGAGTAGTTATGTTATCTGAGAATTTGTAGGGCCAACTCAGAGATCTGCGTGTTTCGATATGACAGGTTACAGGGCTTAATGGTTGGTAGAATGCAACTTGTCCCTGCAATTATCGAGCAAGTAGATATGTAATGTTGGAGGGGGGAGCTTTCCTGGTGGCGTTTCGGAGGGATACTTCCAGACTTCTCTCGTATAGCTGACGGCAAGCAAGATGATGGTGAACAGAAGCGAGCTCTTGCTATTCTTCATCAATTTTACTAGTCTAGTATAGATGAAATGATCATATCAAAATTGTTCTCTGTAGCTCTACAGTACTTCTGTTGAGAGCTGAAAAAAAAAGGTTGCATTGAATTCCGGAGGGACCGCCTATTGCCTGAGGCAGCGGGGGAGGGGCAGCTTGTGCATAACATCATCATCGATAATCAAGTATACCACCTTCACTTGAGGACCTCGAGAGCTTCAACCCAAACCCCCCCGTACCACCATCATCTCCGTCACACCCTCCAGCTTAAGATCCAAATTATCTACGGCCCAAGATCAATCAATTGCCTGGCAATAGCCGATCCCGAGTCCGACAGAGTAGAAAAGAATAGCCGTGGACAGCGAGTTTGTAACCCCCTCCGAGCAGCCGGTGAAAGAGAGGTGCCCCACCACAGACATCATTGCCCCCCCACCTTCCCTTTCTCACCCTCTCTCTGCTCTTGGTCGCGGTTGCCCTCCATCCCACTCCGCTCGTCTGGCTCGCTTTTCCCCCCTCCTCCCCCCCTTCCCTGTCATCCTTTCTCCTTCTCTCTTCTTCCTTCTTTCTCTTCTTCTTCTCCTCTCTCAGTCATCTTTCTCCCTTTCTTCATCTCGTGGTGGTCTTCCCATTTTGTGTTGATTGTTTGTTGGATCATCCCGCTAGAATAAAAAACAAGAACTTGGTTGGATTTAAATAGTATGGCCCCTCCCCTCATTTCTTCCCCAACAACTTTCAACAACTTTCCCCCGTTCAACCTTCCTCTCTAACCTTCCCTCCTTCTCTTCTAGACACAGCAATCATGGGTTACAACGACGTTGACCAATTGGCCATCAACACCATCCGCACTCTCGCGGTATGCATCTCCTCCTTCCATTCTCTTGCTTCCTTATCCCACTCCCATCCGGTTCCGGTGTGACGGGGAGCTTCTCCAGAGCTCCGGCACCGGAAGCCCATTCTTGGTATCACAGGGACTCCGCGGAGCACAGCCTCCCGCGCGGATGATTAGCTATGTGTAGCTGCTATCTCCTCGGAGCTCCTTGTTTTACTAGCCGTGGGTTGCGGAGTGGTCATTCCTTCAAAAGAAATTATTTGATGATAATCAAATTTGAAACTAATCGTCCCCTAGGTGGATGCCACCTTCAAGGCCAACTCCGGTCACCCCGGTGCCCCTATGGGCATGGCCCCCGTGTCCCACGTCCTCTTCAACAAGTTCATGAGCTTCAACCCCCAAAATCCCGACTGGGCTAACCGTGACCGCTTCGTCCTCTCGTAAGTTTCGACCTGCACCAGTACTGTCCAAGTAATCGGTTTACTAATTCCCTTCACAGCAACGGCCACGGCTGCATGCTCCAATATGCTCTCCTTCACCTCTTCGGCTACCAGGTCTCCATGGATGACCTGAAGTCCTTCAGAGTATGTATCCGCCGAGACTTCTTTCTGGGGAGCCCATTGTAGTCATGTCCTAACCATTCTGCTCGTGTAGCAACTCGACAGCATCACCCCCGGTCACCCCGAGGCTCACGACACCCCCGGTGTCGAGGTCACCACTGGTCCTCTGGGTCAGGGTTTCGCCAACGCCGTTGGTCTTGCCATTGCTGAGCGTCACTCCGCTGCCGTCTTCAACAAGCCCGGCTACACTCTCTTCAACAACTACACATACTGCTTCTTCGGTGATGGCTGCGCCATGGAGGGTATTGCCAGCGAGGCCGCCTCCATGGCTGGTCACCTGAAGCTCGGTAACCTCATTGCTATCTACGACGACAACGGAATCTCCATCGGTAAGCTTTAATTCATCACCCTGATCCCCTCGGGATTACAATCAGACTAATTCGGTTTTGTTTTGCAGACGGTGACACCAAGTGCGCCTTCACTGAGGATGTTATGAAGCGTTTCGAGGCCTACGGCTGGCACACCGAGTACGTCAAGGACGGTGACAACGACCTCGAGGGCATCGAGGCCGCCATCAAGAAGTGCCAGGCTGTCACTGACAAGCCCTCCGTCATCCGTCTGACTACTACCATCGGTTTCGGTTCCAAGCTCCAGGGTACTGGCGGTGTCCACGGTAACCCCCTGAAGGCTGACGACTGCGAGGGTGTCAAGCAGCTCTTCGGCTTCGACCCCAAGCAGACCTTCGTCGTTCCCCAGCAGGTCTACGACCTCTACCACAAGCACGCCGCTGAGGGTGCTGCTAAGGAGCAGGAGTGGAACCAGCTCCTCCAGAAGTACGCTTCTGAGTACCCCAAGGAGCACGCCGAGCTCACCCGCCGTCTCTCCGGCAAGCTTGCCGAGGGCTGGGAGAAGAGCCTGCCCGTCTACAAGCCCACCGACGCTGCCGTTGCTACCCGTAAGCTCTCCGAGGCTGTCCTCGAGAAGATCCACGATGTCGTTCCCGAGCTTCTGTCCGGCTCTGCCGACTTGACTGGCTCCAACAACACCCGCTGGAAGAACGCCGTCGACTTCCAGCCCCCCGAGTACAACATCGGTGACTGGTCCGGTCGCTACCTCCGCTACGGTGTCCGTGAGCACGCCATGGCCGCCGTCATGAACGGTCTCGCCGCCTACGGTACCGTCATCCCCGCTGGTGGTACCTTCCTGAACTTCGTCTCCTACGCCGCCGGTGCTGTCCGTCTGTCGGCCCTCTCCCGTGTCCGCACCATCTACGTTGCCACCCACGACTCCATCGGTCTGGGTGAGGACGGTCCTACCCACCAGCCTATTGAGACTCTGGCTCACTTCCGTGCTCTCCCCAACTGCATGGTCTGGCGCCCTGCTGACGGCAACGAGACCAGCGCTGCCTACTACTCTGCTCTGACCTCCAAGCACACCCCCAGCATTCTGGCCCTCACCCGTCAGAACCTGCCCCAGCTCGAGGCTTCCACCATCGAGAAGGCCCTCAAGGGTGCCTACGTCGCCCTCGAGGCCCCCGACGCTGCCGTCACCCTCATCTCCACCGGTTCCGAGGTCAGCATCTGTATCGAGGCTGCCACCTACCTCAAGGAGAAGCACGGCATTGCTGCCCGCGTCGTCTCCGTTCCTTGCTTCGAGGTCTTCGATGCCCAGGACAAGGCCTACAAGCTCCAGGTCCTCCCCGACAACATCCCCGTCCTCTCCGTCGAGGCTCTCACCACCATGGGCTGGGAGCGCTACGCTCACGAGCAGTTCGGTCTCAACCGCTTCGGTGCCTCTGGCCCCTACAAGGATGTCTACAAGGTAAGCTACCAAATACATACCCCCCCCCCTTGATAACGGCATATGCTGATTCACTTTACCACACAGAAATTCGAGTTCACTCCTGAGGGCATCAGCAAGCGCGCTGTCGCCACCATTGACTTCTACAAGGGCCACACCGTGCGCTCTCCCATCAACCGTGCTTTCCAGCAGATTCTGTAAATGTCTTGCGGTGGCATCGTGATGGTTTGTACTGAATCATGTTTATGAGTATCCGGGACGATGTTGATCCCTGTGGGCGATGATACCCCTGGGAGAAGTCCTAATTTTTAACGACTTTTTCTTTGAAGATAAAAATATATGCAATCTTTCTTATTCCATTTCTTGGTTTGATGATAGTTTTATTTTTCCTTGGTAGATTCAGAGGGGAATTGGTCTATGATGGGAGCATACTAGCACCAGTTTTGGCTTTCAAGTGGACTTGGACAAGCTGCACCGGCAGCAACACCGAACTAAGCGCGTACACATACGGTTGGATTACGACGTAGTCATATAATGTCCACTTTTCCCAAAGCGGATATTGGCTAGTATTATTTCTTAGAAGATCCTTTCGACTTGCATCTCACGTGTCAATCCAGGTGAAGCATCGGGGGAATATTATTGAGGAAGCAGCAGAAATCTTTTGTTATATTCGTCATCGTCAGATCATCATCGATTATCAGCCGCCGTGGGGCCTCGAAATGGAGGAGGCCACCACCCAAAGTATTAGAACGACAAAACTTCAGATAGTCTAAGCGTCCAGAGCCTTGCGGGCGAAGTTGGGGAGAACGAAGCTGGCGCGGTGGATGTCCTGGTTGTAGTAGCGGCAGAGCTTCTCCTCCTCCTCGCGGGTCCAGCTGCGAACGGGCTCCTTGACGTTACGGGTGGCATCCTTGCAGCAGACCATGAAGCCGATCTGGCCGGAGGGGTAGGTGGGGATGGTGGTGTAGGCGTATTCGGCGACGGGGAAGACCTCCTTGCAGGACTTCTTGAGGTCGGTGATCAGAGATAGGTGCAGCCATTGGTTCTCGGCTGTATGGGTAGAAAACACGAACCCAAACCGATCCCGGGTTAGGGGTCGGGTGGTTTGGGACGTAACAAGGTTAGCTTCATAGTTCGCGACGATAGAATACAGACAACACAGAAAACATAAATAACATGAGAAGTTTGAGAGATATAGAGAGAATTTGAGAAGGGAGGAGAGAAGTGGAATAGAAAGGGCAAGAAGGGACTAATGAAAGGCGACGAACAACCTTGTGTGGTGATGACACCTCCCTCACGGAGCGCATCGCGCAGAAGCTCGAAGTAAGGCTTCTGGAAGAGGCTCTCAGCGGGACCCTCGGGGTCAGAGCTGTCAGTGATGATAACATCGAACTCGTTCTGGCGCTCCTTGAGGAACTGGAAACCATCGCCAACGTGGACCTTGACGTTGGGGTGCTGGAAGCCAATGCTCATGCCAGGAAGGTACTTCTTGGAGACACGGATGACAGCCTGAGAAACCATGAGCCACATATCCACACATACGGCACAAGCACACGGGGATTTTTCTGATGTTTTACCTCGTCAATGTCGCACAGGGTGGCCTCCTCGACGGTCTCGTGCTTGACGACCTCACGGAGGACACCACCGTCACCACCACCGATGACAAGGACCTTCTTGGGGTTGGGGTGGGAGTTCATGGCGAGGTGGGTGATCATCTCCTGGTAGCTATAGTCATAGGATGTTAGGGTCAATGGTAATTTTCGGAAATGGAAAATAGCTCATAAGAAGGGTTCCAAAACATACGAGAACTCATCGCGCTCAGTGCACTGGATGACATTGTCGAGGACGAGGACGGTGCCGTAGTCGCTGCTCTCGAAAACGAGGACATCCTGGTACTTGGACTTCTCATGGTGGAGGATCTGGTTAACCTTGAGGTTCATGGCCTGGCCGGGCCACATGTCAGACTGCTCGGAGAACCAGCCATCTGTAGAAAAAAAGCGAAGAACCAATGTTAGCGAGGAGGGGTAATAAATTCTCGTCGGAGGGGTATGTAGTGAGATGACATCGTCTTGAGGCGAAATTGCGCTCATTGAAGCGTCATAATCGGTAATTGATCCATTGAAGGGATTTGAAGAGTAGGTTTGGGGGAATGCGAAGAGAACAGGAGGCGGGGTAAATCCGCGAGGTGATGATGATGGAGGGGTGGTTGGATGGTGCGGATAAGGTAAAGAACTACTACTAACATACCCTTAATGGTGGGGTGAGTGATGTCGCTCATGGTGATGGAGTGGTGAAAAGGACGGAGAAGACGAGGACGAAGACGGAGAGCAGACAGCGAAGAAGCAGCTGAAGGGAGACGGAAGAGAAGAGAAGAAGAGGAAGAGAGAGAAGAGGAGGAGGAAGGAGGAGAGAAGGAAAGCGAGAGGAAAGAAGCGACGAGAGACGAACGCATGCGGAGTGGGGGAAAAGTTGAAAACCAGAAACAGAAAAATTGTATGTACGGCCGCTGACCAGTGGTAATTTATCACCGGCGATGGCGGCCACTCAGGTGGGGTTTTCTCTCTTTTGTCGCCCGTTTCGGTAATTTTCTCTACTGGCCAGTGGGTTTGGTTGCCGTATTGCTGGTTATGGTATGACCTTGTGTTTGTAACTTAAGAGTAATAGCATCCACTTCAACTTCCCTCAAAAGAGTCTTCCTTCCTTTCTTATCTTGATCAGAAATGTACGATAATCCTAATGGATAGTAGACACTTGCGTAACTCAATTGGTCAACGCGCATGATTCTCCATCCAATCGTCGGGGCAATTGTGGTTCTTTAGGATACTTTAGTATCACGGCCAAGGCAGTCCAACATCTCCATTTTGTACCACAATCATCACCTTCGGGCACTCGGGCAGCACTCACTCAGCATCGCAAATATTCAGAGAAAAATCGCATGGCCAATTGACCTGCCCAGGAAGCGTGGGATACTTCCCGCGCTGAAAAGGCTCAAGCAATAGCCGCCGGTGATTGGCAGACGACACTACGGGTTGGCTTCAAGCGGGTGTGGAATCCCTCCGGCCTATACGATGCCGCCTATTCTTGATTACAGATGCACCCCACGCGCGGTCAAGGCAACCAAAAACATTGCAACACATTCGATTGCTTCTAGTTACTGTACAGTGCAATCACACATCCAGCCCTTCCATATTGCCCCATGCCATCCCTATTCTCTCAAGGTTTTCCCAGCTGGCACGTTACATTTACTCGTCACCACCCTCAAGGAGGCGGCCAGGCTTGGAGTTGAGGTACTCGTTCCTATAAGCAAGCAAGTCCAAGCGTCAGCTCTGGGATGTCCAATTGTACCAGAAACATGCGTAATATAGGCTTTCATGTCCGCACGTAAGGGGGAGGCATACCTCTCAACAGCCCAGTTCATGATGGCGTAGGCGGCAATGAAGGGAGGAGCGACGTAGAGGACCTGGTGTCTGAATCTGCGGAAAACGTTGAAGATGGCAGCGTGACCGGCACCGGCAAGAGGGCGCTGGCGGTTAGGGGACATGGAGTAGGAGGTGACACGCTGGGGAGTAGGGCATCCTAGATGGCGCAGAAACGAGCCATGTTAGCAAGGGTTCCGAAGTCCAATTGCGCATTCTGTCGTTATTAAAGCTGCATTTCGTCGACAGTACAAGGCTATAATCGAGTAACAAGCCCGATGGCCCGATATTGCTGACAGTCGAAAGGCTTCGCAGACAGGCGAATCACGTTGATATTGTAGACATACCCAGATCACCCCACCAGCCCAGGAAGCTAAAAGAATCACAAGTTAGCCATCATAACTAGCCAATAAGCTACGACTCGAATGGAGTCAAAGTCATTTGACGTAGGGGACATGGGTAGATATCACGGCAGACGAGACCGCACGGTACCCTTTCCCCCGGAAAAGCTAGGGAGCGGACAAGACGAGACAATGGGGCAGAAAACTCACACTCCATTCTTAGGATCGAGATGGCCACCCATTGTGAAGAGATGCGACGAGAATCAGCGACGTAAAGCGCGATGTGGGGAGGGAGAGATGGAGCGTGAGAGGAGAGAGAGAGAGAGAAGTCGTCGTCGGTGACCTTCGGACCAAAACGGACGAAAGTCGAAGTTGGAAGTTCAAACCACCGCCCAACGCTAATCCGTTTTGGGACAGCATGCGAAAAGCCTCGACATCATCTCCAGCCAAACTCCCGCCCGCCTGATAATTACGGTCGTTTCTCTGTCGCTGCTGAAGTCCCCGTCCCCTCGCTCATCACTCCATCACCATGTCTACCCTTCTTCAGCAGGTCTACCGCCTCGCCGTGCCCATCTCGGCCGGAGTCTACCTCTTCAACTCCTCCATTTACGATGTTCGCGGTGGTACCCGCGCTGTCATCTTCGACCGATTGTCCGGAGTGCAGGAGAAGGTCATGAACGAGGGTACACACTTCCTCATCCCTTGGTTGCAGCGAGCCATTATCTATGATGTTCGCACCAAGCCCCGCAACATCTCTACCACCACGGGTAGTAAGGACTTGCAGATGGTCAGCTTGACTCTGCGTGTGCTGCACCGTCCTGAGGTCCCGAAGCTGCCGGCCATCTACCAGGTAAGATAGAGTGTGCCTTTTCTATACTCAACTAAGACCAATCCCTCTAACCCATGATCCTCCCAAATAGTCCTACGGTATCGACTACGATGAACGTGTGCTGCCATCCATCGGAAACGAAGTCCTCAAAGCCATTGTCGCCCAGTTCGATGCCGCCGAGCTGATCACCCAGCGTGAAGCTGTCTCCAACCGCATCCGCACAGACCTCATGAAGAGAGCCTCTCAGTTCAACATCGCCCTCGAGGACGTCTCCATCACCCACATGACCTTCGGAAAGGAATTCACACGCGCCGTCGAGCAGAAGCAGATCGCCCAGCAGGACGCCGAGCGGGCCCGTTTCATCGTCGAGAGAGCCGAGCAGGAACGTCAGGCCAATGTCATCCGCGCCGAGGGTGAAGCCGAGAGTGCTGATATCATCAGCAAGGCCGTTGCCAAGGCCGGCAGTGGCCTGATTGAGATCCGTCGTATCGACGCCAGCAAGGAGATCGCGACGACGCTCGCCAACAACCCCAACGTCACGTATCTGCCCGGTAACGATGGCAAGGAAGGCGGAAAGAGCACTAGCCTCTTGCTGGGCTTGAGAAACTAGAAGGCGCTGTGGCTTGGTAAATGGAATTACGTGTATTTCTTATTTCTCTTTTCTTTGTTGCGTTTCCTTCAACCGGATGGATCTCAGGCGTGCATGATCTCCGTGGCGAATTAATGTCGTTTGGTCTTCTTTCTTCATCTCTTCCTCCTCTCCTACACACTCACACTCACACGCATGCACCCTTATTCGCATCGACCTGTAGCAATATCATACCCATTCCTCTCTCAAGTGTGCCTCTACTTATCCAAACCTTATAGCAGGTAACGGACTTCACGACATAGATTCCACGATGGTAGGTATCATTGTAAGCCATAAACCAAATGCAACCATACAAACAAGACATAGAAATCCTACTCCCCAACCCTCCGATAAACATGAACCTGAAACCTCATATCCTCCAACCCAGCCCCCTCCCCAACATCATACCTCAACCTGGCCGCATCTCTTCTCCACCACCTCGAATCCTGCGACAGCAACCGTTCCCACTTCCCCTCCGCTACCGAAAGCAGGGTATGATCCAACAAGAACTTCATCGGATACTGTCTCTCCCGCACTTCACCATCGCCACCCTTCCCCAACTTCAACGTCGAATAACTCCCAGGACTATCCACCACAAGCAGCACCGTCCCAGGCCGCAACAGATCCGTCATACGTAGCAAAAACCCCGTCGCCTTAGCCATGGACGTCGAAAACAATTCATTCAAAGTAAACATCAACGTCACCAAGACGGTAGAGCATGATTCCGCGCCCTGCTGTGAGAATAATCCCTGAAGTTCCTTCTCCCCCGCGGAGAGAACATCTATCTTTTCGAACTGGACGTTGAACCCGGGCGTCTTCTTTTTATTCTCTTCGTCTCCACTGGAGGGTAACAACGGGGCAGGATGCGACTTCGACCCAGTCACTGTGGGAGATCGAATAGCGGTGGATAAGCGCTCGACTACCTTTGACCAGTCTGCGATGTCTACCGCCGTGACGGAGAGGCCGGGGTAGGTGGAAGTAGCAGTAGCAGACGTAGAAGTAGAAGTTAGTTGTTCTTCTTCTTCTTTTTCTTCTTTCCCATAATCCAAGGATACCGCCTTAACAGCATCCGCAATCTGGCCCTCTCCACTTGCAGAAGAAGATGGTAGTTCAGCACCATCCAGAATATCCCTCCAAGCAGCCGCAAGCGCAACAATCTCAGCGCCCGCGCCACCCCCAATACACACGACATTCTTCGTAGAAGCAGCAGCAGCAGCATCATCATCATCATCATCATCATCTTTAGAAACAGGCTTAATTACCTCCTTCAACAGCGCACGAAAGATGCCCGCATACCCCAACGCCCGGGACGAGCTCCACCGCAACGCATAAGCACGAAGCAAATCCTCATTCGCATCTGTGAAAGCGGAGTCAAAGTCCCGATTATATAAATGAGTTTTGATCGTCTGGATCAGACTTTTGATGTCTAGTTGCTCCTGCTGCTGTTGCTCTGCTGAATCACCAGTGGCTTCAGTCGTGGTAGCAGCAGCAGCAGCATCATCATCGTTCTGCTTCGTCTCCTCCCGATTATAGAGGTAATTGTGACCATTGGTGAGCAAGGCGGTTTTGAACACATTAAGCAGAAGTTGTTGGAGAGTCAGCGGGATGGTGGTGGAGATGTTGAGTTCATGATTTTCATGAGCGGCATGATGATGTTGGTTAGGATCGGTTTTGCTGGTGGTTCGGCGTGGTTGTGCTTGCGAAGAAGAGGACGGCTTCTTTTTACTACTCTCCTTCTTGTTGGGCTTTTTAGATGTGTTGCCGGATCGAGGAGGTGCCATTTTCAGATAGAGTGTGGATTTCGTGATTTATTTCTTACATTGATTGCTAATAGGATATGTTGTCTGGATTCAGTTTGGGATTTGGGGGAATTTTCGGTTTCGCATTTGGATGGGCGTGTGGGGCTCTCCGTGGTTGGATATATATCGTCACAACTTAGTATACTACTACTACTACGGAGTATCGCTGCCAGAGTGTTTGGCATTCTCCAAAAGAGCAAGGGCTTCATTTCCCAAGACAGCAATGCTACTGGTTATTTATAAGCTATCATTGAGTGTTAAAGCT